TCCAAGGGGGAGGGGGAGGGTTAGCCAATCACCTCCGAAGGCGGCTACCCTTAACAGTCTAATAAACTTGAAAGGGCCCTTGGAGGTGTTCTAGTCCAGTTCCCTGCTCAAGCAGGAGACCCTATACCGATGCTCTTCCGGGTTCCGTTGCATGCATGTGCACTGGACCAGCTGTCCAGAAAGAGCCTGGCTATATTCAGGGTTTTCAGAGAAGATGCTGCTTCCATGCAAGGTCTCCCTGGAGGTATTTGTGGTTGAGGGCCTCCTGTAGTTAGAAGTCAAGGGGACCTCTTCTTGATGTTGGTAGCTTTGTTCTTCATGTGTGTCAACTGCCAAAAAAAGGAAAAAAAAACCAGAAAGGCTGGGAAGGAAAAAAGCAGAAGGAAGCATCCTTTCTTGAAAAGTTGTTATTGAGTACATGAATGTTTCTAGAAGTTTAAATTGAAAGAGACTATTTTACTATCATTGTATATGTACTGTATGCATATTGTAATGTTATGTTCAAAGTAAGAAAAGTTAAAAAGGTGACTTAATTATGCTGTTTTGATGAGCTATAAGAATAACCCATAGAAAGCAGTATATTTCTTTCTGTTTCTTCCTTTTACCAGCTGGAGGCTGTGAGGGAAACTCTTGAATCCCTCTCCACTCTGCTGCCCTTTTTTGACCTTTTTGCAACTGCTAAACATTTCTTCCTTCTAAATCTCTTTATGAAAACTTAACGGTTTTTCTAATCACATATGCTAATTAAGAGGAAGAAATTGCAAACCCACAATCCAGGAAGAGCCCCTTTCCCAACTCCATTATATTAAAAGTAATACTAGCCCCATTCTGTCTTTGTCTTTGTAAACTGCATTATCAGAGATGAGCGGAATGGATGGAATGGATCATAGCCGCCACCTTTACAGCTTTGATTTTCATAAATGTATATGCTTGTAAGAAAGTTAATGACTTTATAACTGTGGAAAGGGGAGTTTAAGAAAGGAATGGTTGAAATGAAGAAAGAAGGGAAAGCTTATGCTGCATATGAACAGTAATAAAGTTTAAGAAATGTGATTCAGAAGATCTGAAGCTCACATATGTTTTGTAGCAAAATTTAAGTGATTTTTGCGTTTTAATCTGGATATATCCAAAATGTTTGGAACTACAAAATGAAGACTAGGTGCTGCTAAATGTGTGCTAAGCTTGCTTGGTTTAAGATAGACAGTAATGTGGGTTCAAGTCCCACCTCAGCCATGAAAGTGGCGGGCTGATGACTTTGGGCAAGTCATTTTCTCTTAACCATAGGAAAAAGGCACATTTTTGCTTTCCCATCTGTTATCGCCTAATCTCTGTACTGTTGCCTGATCTGCTGTGCTGCCTCCAACACTAATTTGCATTTCAGCCTCTCAATAATCCTATCACAGGATTATTTCAGCATTGTTGACTCCATGTGGGCCAGTAAGAAAAAAAAATCTAAATCTGACTTCCCTCCTTTTACCTGTGTTTTACCTTTAAAAAAAATCCTAAATAAGACACGTGAGCACATTTCCTGGGGTTCAAGTTTACAGGGTTTCATTTTTGTCCCTTAACATCATGGCATCTGGTAAGGGTGAAAATGTACCTGCTCGGCTTTTAGAAAATTAAACCACATTGGACTCGGTTAGCTTTCACCAACCAACCATCAGCACTTCTTCCTGCTGATCACGAGATACCAAGACCAACCTACCAGCAATAGAACTGGATTTATACTGGGACTCCTGGAGCAGGGGAGCTGGTGGGGGAAAATATATATATATATATTTTCATTTGTATACTTGCAATTATTGGCATGTTCTAATAGATGCAGTTATTATTAATGTACCATGTATCCACAACGCATATGGGCAAAAGAAGCCCTTAACTGATCAAGCGAAACTCGAGGAAAAACCTGGGCATGGCAGATTGTGAGGGTTGTCACTTGTCGGGATAATTGGCCTTGTATTGAATTATTTTCCTCCCAGAATAATTTCTCAGAGTTGAAAATTAGGATTGCAGAGTTTAAAGCACCACCTCAATGTTTTCCTTCTAACAATGTTAATTAATGAACTCCTCTTCCTACAGATGATACAGATAGACAAAATGTATGGTTATAAACGACACTCATGAATAGTTGTGTGTATGGACGTGCATAGAAATAAATATTTCTTCTTTCCACACAGCTGGTCTGGGTCTCGTTTTTATTCATTCTTCTGCAACCTCAGCTTAAGTCGGAACCTTCTGACAGAATTTTGCCCCAGTTTTACTACTTTCCTTGCCACAGTTGTTAAGTGAATCGTGGCAGATGTTAAGTTAGTCAAACGGTTGTTAAGTGAACCCGGCTTCCCTGTTGACTTTTGCCAGGAGGTCGCCAAGGGTGATCACATGACCCCTGGGACACTGCAAGGGTCACAGAGGATGAACCAGCCGCCAAGCGCTGGTGACTTCAGGAAGGCTGCAAAGGATGTTGTGAAAAATGGCTGCAAGCCCCCCTTTGTTAGCACCAGTGTAACTTTGAACGTTCACTAAATGAACTGTTGTAAATCGAGGACTATATCTCCCCAGACACGCATCCATGTGGCTCCATGTCCAGGGCTCTTCCCCCAAGAGGGGTCGCATTGGGGGGGGGTGCAGAAAGCCAAGTGTGGCAGCCAGCCTAAGACCGGGCCGGAATCTCGATGGGCTTGCACTTCAAATCCCATCAGCCCATAGTGCTGGCTGGGGATGATGGCTCTGTAGTTCCACCAGCCTTAATCCCAGAGGAAAAAGTTCTGCGCTGCGCCGCAATGAAGCCGATGAGCCGCTCTAGGATTTCTAGCAGCGCCTCTTTAAACAACGTCAAATCCGGACGGAGGCGGGCTTTGCTCCCAGCAACATCCGGCCTCTTGGTTGCCGCGGCAGCCGCCTCCGCCTTCCAAAACAGGCACGTGATCGCCGCCGCAGGCTCCTTCGCTGCGCATGCGCAGCCAGGCCCCGTTTCGGCGAGGGACAGGCATCTCGAGAGCGGCAGGAAGCCGGAAGCGAGCGTTTCCGGAACCGGAAGTCTTTGTAAAGAAAGGCGCCCGAGGACTTCCGGCGGCATGGATGGTGAAAGGGGGTGCGCGTGTCTCTTCTCGCTCACAATGAGGCAGGGGGAGAGGGAGGTCTCGCTGGGGGTCCCATCACCTCACCTTCCTCGGCTTGGCTCAGCTGCGCCTGACTGGCGTTGTAGTCCAGGGTTTCCTGCCTGAGTAGGGGGTCGGACTAGAAGACCTCGAAGGGCCCTTCCACAACTCTCGTTCTTCTGGCGGCCTCGCCCTGGGAGGTTTGCGAGCGACGGGATGTGCAGGTGAGCAGGGGGGGCTTCCCCTCCTCTCTAGGAGGAGGGATCTTGAAGTGGGCAGAGGGGGGGACGATGGGGGAATTTTGATCACGTGACCCTAGGGAAAATGCTGCAACGGTCGTAAGTGTGGAACCCGATCCGTCGCTGTTATCAGTGCTTTTGCAACTTTGGACAGTCTCTAAATAAAGTCCATTAGGTCAAGGATACTACCTTTATTCCTTCCTTCTGTTTTGTCCATGACGACCCTGCGAGGTAGGCTGAGAGTGACCGGCCCCCAAGTCACTCACTTAGCTTTTGTCCTGATAATGAGACTAGAACTCCCCGTCTCCCTCTTTCCAGTCCAATACCTCTGTTCTCTTATTATTGTAATACAGGTTATCCTTAATTTACGACAGTTCATTTAGTGACCGTTCAAAGTTACAACAGTGCTGAAAGAAGTGGCTTATGACCGTTTTTCACTTACCACCTTTGTAGCGTCCCCATGATCATGTGATCACCAGTTGCCTTGGCAACTGACTCATACTTATGACCGTTGCTGTGTCCCAAAGTCACCGGATCCCCTTTTGTGATCTTTTGAGAAGCAAAATCAATGGGGAAGTCGGATCTGCTTAACAACCGTGTGACTAACTTATCAACTGCCGTGATTCATTTAATGACTGTGGCGAACAAGGTTGTAAAATGGGGCAAAACTGACTTAACAAACGTCTCAGAACCACAGAACATTTGGGCTCAACTGCAGTCGTGTACAAGTTATAATATAATGCAGGTAGTCCTCATTTGGCGACCACGGTTGGGAAGCAGCAACTCTTGTCATTAAGCAGAGCGATTGCTAATTAGGAAATGATAACTGCACCTTTTATGCCACTCCTCCTTCCCCCACCCATCCCAGCTGGCGCTGCCAATTCCGCCTCCTAAGCTGGTTTCTTCACACGAAGGGAATTAATGCGTGTATTTACATTCGTTAAAGAGAGGAAGGGATTACAAGGAGGTATAGGTAGTCCTCGGTTTACGACCACAGTTGAGTCCAGAATTTATGTTGCTGAGTGAGACATTTATTAAGAGGATTTTCTCCCCTTTTACAAGTGAGCCACTGCATTTGTTCAGTTAGTAATAGGGTTGATAAGGGAATCTGGCTTTTCCAACTGACTTTGCTTGTCCGACAGTCGGAAAAAAAGGATTACGTGACCCCCAGAACACTGCAACCATCATAAATGTGAGTCAAGCATCTGAATGTGAATCTTGTGAATCATGTGGCCATGGGGATGCTGCAACGGTCGTTAAGTGTGAAAAAGGGTCATAAGCAGTGGTGGGATTCAGCCGGTTCGCACCTATTCGGGAGAACCATTTGTTAACTTTCTAAGCAGTTCGGAGAACTAGTTGTTGGAAGAAATCTCCTTTTGTTTTTTTCCACTTTGCAGGGCTAATCCTGTAAGGAACTGAAACATTCTGGTGTTTCTAGCCTAATCTTTATTGCCCTGCTTACCGAAACTGCCTCTCTGGTTAACCCTTGTTACATTGTAACAGCTAAGGCGAAGCACCGATCGACATGAGTGACGTTGAGTTGGCCATGCCCACACGGTCACATGACCACCAAGCCATGCGTACCCAGCTGGTCATTAGGGCAGAGAACTGGTTGTTAAATTATTTGAATCCCACCGCTGGTCGTAAGTCACATTTTTCAGTGCTGCTGTATCTTTAAACGGTCACTAAGTGAGATCGAGGGCTATCTGTATTGTCATTTGTTAGAAAAGAGGGGATTACAAGGAAGTAAACAGGGACGCAATGAGGAATACACTGGTCTTTTTGTACTCGGGGCTGGCTGGTGCCTCTGCATTGCTTTTGATTTGAACTCCGCATTGGGTGCCTGCTTAGTCTCTTGTCATCCCTCTCGCTGCAATCCGTCCTCTGGAAGATGGGGAAAAAAAAGAACCAGGCAAATCCAAGAAGTACCTAAGTGGTGCAAGGTGTCACTCCCTGTAGTGTCCATCGTGCACGTCCGCCATTAAGCACCCTTCAGAGCGAAAAAAGGTGACTTATCAAATCCTTTGAAAAGCTCAAAAGCAGAATTTTGCTTGCCTCGGATATCTACATTAGGGAAAGTGGAGCTGTGGTTGAACCACTGATGGTGCAGGTAAGCCCTCGAATTACGAACAGTTCACTTACTGACTGCTTGAAGTTACAATGGCGCCGAAAAAGGGGGACTTATGACCATTTTTGATACTTACGACCATTGTACCACGTGATTTACAGTTGGATGCTTGACAACTGGTTCGTATTTCTGACTGTTGCGTGTCCCGAGGGGGAGGTCACATGATCACCTTTGGTGGCCACCAGATAAGCAAAGTCGACGGGGAAGCCGGATTCACTTAACAACCGGGCGACTGATTTAACAACCGCAGCAATTCACTTCGGAACCGTGGCACGAAATGTCGCAAAACCGGGCCGAAGTCATTGAACAAATGCCTCACTTAACAACCAGAAATTTTGGGCTCAGTTTGTGATTGTAAGCCGAGGACTGCTCGTATTTTGGTAACTGGTTCATGGAGTTAATAAGAGAGTATCCCAAGATCTGGGCCAAATTTGTAGCGTGATAGAGGAGTTGGATGTAGAAATGCCTCTTCTTTCTTAACTGAGCAGGAACCTCTACAAGGAAGGAGATCCTGGAGCTTCTATTAGACCAATGTGGAGAGCAGTAGTAGCAGGAACACGGCAGGCAAAGATGGCGTCCTTGGTCGGAGTACCCGCAACACGTTTTGTCAAATTCCTGGAAGGCAATGGATGTCTCATTGAGAACAGCTCCTTTGAGAGCCATCTATCCTGCATCTAAGGAGAAGGTTCAGATTAGGCCTCCCTCTTCATCCTCCTCCTCCTATCTTCACCACCACCATCTGGTCAAGTAGGCCAGCGGTCCTGGTCTTAAGACTTTAATTAGCCATTACGACGCACTTCCTTCTAGATTCCTTGAGTTGAAATTGTTGCCTTGGCTGGAAAGAGGTTCTCCAAACGACGAGCAGCTCAAACCAGAAGAACCAGCGAAAGGAGCACGAGACGAAAGCGAGAGAGATGCCGAGGGGAAGCAGCTTTGGGGCTCGGCCATCGGCAGTCTGTAGAGCGAGGTTCTTCCGTCAACCACTTCCAGCTCTTCTTCAGGGTTGCGAGGTCTTACCCGCTCCACTTCCTGCGGGATTGTTGGACAGGGCATCCTTCACTTCCTCCAATTGTCCCATTTCCTCCTCAAACGAAGGGCAGGACGTCATGTCTCCCGTCTTCACCCCTGCATGCTGTTTTCTTACGCCAAGGCTGATTTCTTGTGGTGCTGCAACACCTCCAGGGGCCCGTCTGCACACACCTGCTCCTTAATCCGAGAGGGAGGATTGCAAGGGCCAGGAGTATCTTCCTCCTCGGCCAAGGTCATCGCAGTAGGAACGTGGTTTCTGCAGCTCTCCTCTTAAATTGCGGGTACCGTTTTTGGTGGCCGTAGCTTACAATCTTAATCCCCTTTTCGTCCCCTTGCTGGCCGGGTTTGCTTTCACGTCTACCTTCATTCCCCTGCAGCTCCTGCCGATACCTGGTCACCCCGTCGTAGTCTCCTCCGATGCTTCAACAACGCGCTTTATGCAGTCCCATGGGGTCCGTGGGTGAGGAGGACGAGAGGCTGGCTGTTTTCTGTGTGTCTCAGTCCCCCACACAAGCACCCCCCCCTCTTGTGTAATTCCTGCCCTCTATGCCGTTCTTGCTCATACTGGGCCAGGCTGCTAAGTCAGGCGGGTTGTAAAAAGAATCACTGTTGGGTCAAAGAAGCGTTATCTATCTGCAATTAAACAATAAAAAGTATGAGCCAAAAGGGTTCACAGTGCCTTTTCCAAAACTTTCCTGCGCCCCGTTTGCATAGTTTACTCGCGCTGCAGCCTATTCCTTTTAACTCTCCGCTATTCCCCAAACGAGGGGTCAGCAACCTGTGGCTCTGGAGCCGCATGTGGCCCTTTCATCCCTCTGCTGCAGCTCCCTGTTGCTGGTTGGCTCCACAATTGATAGGGCTTTCAGTTAGGACTGGTAGAGGAAAAAAGGACGCCGCGCCAGGAGGAGACTCTACGGTGGGGGAACCGGCTCCAGAATTGAAAGGGGGAGCTTCCGGTTAGGACATTTGTGGCTCTTTTGAGTGTTTAAGGTTGCTGACCCCTTCCCCAAATGAAAGCGCGAGGAAAACCAACGCATTCTAGAAATCCGATCGCTAACGACAAAAGTAACACTAAACACTGCTGAAAAACACGGCTCTCCGATTAAGGATCAGCTGGAATGGGGAAACTTTATTTTGGCATACTGAGAGTAGTGTACAGTACTCCACCCCTTTGAACAGGATAGGGAAAGGAAAGAGCGTGCACCAATAGGAACTTTGGAAAGTACTTGCATATGATGCGTGTTTTTTGCACTTTGCGGAGGTCTCTGGGGAAAAAAACCTATTAACCGATCCCAACTCTCTTTTGAAAAAAAACCCAAAAAGCTGGAGTTTGTTTCTGTTCTGGGCAGGAGAAATTACGGCAACGTCGTGTAGAGCCGAGCGTATTACGCAGCAGCTCCTTTACCGCACACATTAACATCCCATATTCACAAAGGTTGCTCAGTTGATGCTTCATCATATTTATTTTGAAGAAAAAAAAAAAAAGCTGAAAACTTAGCCAACGTTAATCATTTCCAAGTCATTGCTATGTGCAAGTGGATTATCCTGACAGCGTTTTAATCTGTTCGGCGCAATCGCCTTCCAAAAAGCCAACATAAGCATCTAGTCCCTCGCACTAGATGTGAGGGACCAGATGCCAGTTATCATCTAGATGCCAGTTATTATCAGTCTATAGGCCAATATGCTTCTTCCTTTCTCCATAAATTTCGTTTGATTAGGGTTGAAGCACTAGCCAAACTTAGTACTTCTAGAGTCCAATGTTCACTCTCTTACGTAGAAGTGTAAAGTTCAGACGAAATTATCACTGTGAGCGAGGAACAGCTGAACAGTGATCTACAGGTAGTTCTCGACTTAGGACCGCAACCGAGCCCAACATTCCTGTTGTTGGGCGAGGCCTTCGTTAAGTGAGTTTGGCCCCATTTTACGAACTTTCTTGCCACAGCTGTTAAAAACGAATCACCGCGTGATTGATAAGCTAGTAACACGATTGTTAAGTGAAGCTGGCTTCCCCATTGACGTGGCTCGTCGGAAGGTCGCAAAAGGAAATTGCATGAAAAATGGTAATAAGTCCCATTTTCCAGTCCCGTCGTAACTTTGAACAGTCACTAAATGAGCTGTTGTAAGTCGAGGACTACCTGTATATATCATGAGCACCTTTCTAATTTCATTTGACACGGCCACAGAATTTTCCTTAGAAAGATTATCGAAATATAAAAGCAGAAGACATTTTATCCCAACTAACTACTCCCAAGTTCTTTCTTTTAATAATGCGCAAAGAACAAGGAAATATGAAATCTATGTTTACACAGTTACCACCAGGGTAAATAATATCGTGATGACCTCATCAAAATATAGACCGTTAAAAGAAAAATACAAACACAAATGGCAAATTTCCAGGGCTGTATTTGCCCCAGCTAGTATTTTAACAAAAATGTTGAGCAGCAACAATTTTCTTTAAAAAAAAAAATAAATATCAAGAAATACCAACCAAAAAAAAAAAAGGAGTCACATTTCCTTTGGCTTCTGCCAGTGATTTAAGTGACTGTTAAGATAAATCACACAATCACTGAAGGCAGAAATGGGATGTGAAAAAGCAGGGTTTCGTATTGCACAAATAATTTACTATTTTCTGTGTCATAATATCTGAAACTATAGATAACTTGAATATCTTGCAGGAGAGAATCCTGCATGCCCATCTCGACTTATTATTATTTTTTTTACAGTAATGTAACATGACAATTTTGCAAAAACTTAACGAGTAGCCCATTGCCTGTTCTTCAGTTAAAACACATATTATTAATGTTTAACATTTCTATCTACAAGTACATAAGAAATTGGATTGAGGACAAGAATTCGATACGCTCCAACGTGCATTTTGCTCAGAAGAATTGGCGGGGCAGCGCTGAAATTCTCCGATTTTTTTTTTTTAGTTTTATAGAAAACTTAACAACCTGAAGAAGAGTTCAGATCTCTCAAGAGTGAATACAAAGACACACTGTATGTACAGTTGCTTTAGCAAGATCATTCATCCTGGAGAAATTAACTATCGGCATTTAACATATATGTACAGTTAAAAAAAAAACACAACCCAACAAGATTTCCAAATGTCAGCTGGGGGAAAAACGCACACAAGTGGTTCTTTGCACAAACAATCTTGGATAAGCAACTGATTATGTCCCAAAAAAAAGCTGACAGCATCACAGAAAAAAGAAAAAAAGATTGTATTCTCAAGTGTTTTTTTTTTTTAACAGAGACCCGGTTCTTTTCAGCAAATTCATTCTAGCCAGAATTTATTGAAAGAGGTTTGATTTCTGCAGAAGAAATAAAACAGCAGCTCCACTGGTTTGTGCTATGTCCAAAGATACCAAACCTTTTTATACAATTGTGTAGAAATTACAATGGTGGGGAAAAAAAAATAATTGTACGGGTTATTCCAAAGAGAGCACGCGGAGTGGGGAACTAGGCTAGGGATGGCACAGGTACCCACACATTCTGGAGAGGTCCCTAATGTGATTATTGCAACTGTGCGTGCAGCTGAAGGGTTTCGGGGGGAGAGGAGGCTGGGGAGGAGGAGGAGGCATTCAGGATCATTAACCCCCCCCAATCCGACTCCCAAAGTGGTGAAAATATGAAGAGTGAGGCCCCCCCAACGTTGAGTTTCGAGGCCATCTGGAGGGGGGGGAAAAAGATCTTTAGGCAAAAAAAAAAAGAAGAAGTTTACAAGAATGAATACTCCTTTTAAGTACTTCGAATGGTGCTCTGGGGTCAGTTCACCCTACTTGCTCACTCAAAAGCATCTAGGTAAAAGTACAGGCATGCAAATATTAAGGTCAGTCCACAAGCATGTAGGATCCGTATTAAAAAAAAACCCAAAAAAACAAACAAAAAACGGTAAGGGAGCCGGGATGGGTGACATCAACGATTGATGATTTACGGACAGACAACCTGATGTGTTCTGAACAAAGTCAAAATTCCTGATGCAAATTCCTGCTCACACCGCTAACTGTAACTACAGCAGACAAGGTTGTCCCCACCAGTAATTTTTTCTTTTTTTCTTTCTTTCTTTTTTTTTAGCCAAGCTCGAGGAATTTACAATATTTAGTAAGGAAAAAAAAAAAAATTAAAGTATTTCCCCCTTGTTTTTTGTGTTTTGTTTTTTGTTTTTAAATTTACACAGATGTTTAATTAGCTTTATTTACAAAGCAGTTTTGATTTTGTTTTTTAGTTTTGTTTTGTTTTCAGTCTCCAACAGGGCCTAGATAGCATCAGGCAAAGAACGCCAGTTTTAAAAGAGAATCTATATTGAAACCTAAAAAGAAGAGATGATGTGACGTTCCTCAAGAAGAGGCAGGCTGGGCTACACTGAGGCAGTTTCTGCACACGGGGTTCAGTTACTCAGGAGTAGCTCTGTTGCTCTTTCTACGTCCCATGATTTTGATGACAAGGCCACTATTACTGCATTCTGCAAAGAAAAAAGAAGAAGAAGAAAAAGACAAGAAGTGACTGAGGTCAGAAGGGAGCACCTCTAGCAAATAAAAACTAAACAAAACATCCAGTGGTGAAATGTAAAATTCGTTACTCACGGTTCTGTGAGCGTGGCTTGGGGGGGGGGGGGTTAAAGTGGACTGGTGGGGTCGTCCCAAGCTTTTTTTTTTCTTTTTAAACCATTTTTTCTACAACCTCTTTGGCCAAAGAGGTTGCAGGAAAAAATGCTTTTAAAAGCCTCTGACGATCCCAGCTGAGCCGCGCGATCATCAGAGGTTTTTTTTTTAAAAACTTTTAAAAGCATTTTTTCGACAGAAGAGGTTGTAGAAAAAATACTTTTAAAAGTAAAAAAAAAACAGCCTCTGATGATCGTGCGGCTCAGCTGGGCGTGGGGGGTGGCATAGGGATTTTTGCTACCGGTTCTCTGAACCACTTGCCACCATCGCTACCGGATCGGGCGATCCGGTCTGTACCAGGAGCATTTCACCCCCGCAAAACACCCATTTTCACCCTGGCACTAATAATAGAAAGCGCATGCGTGACAAAGGCTAAACTGAAGCAGGATACTTGGCACAGAATCTCATATCCAATGCAGCTCCATGAAATCTCCTAAGCAGTAGGCATCTCACACGGGAAGGAAAGTACAGGCAGCCCTCAATTTACAACAGTTCATTTTAGTGACCGTTCAAAGTTAACTGAGAAAAGGGACGTAGGAACGTTTTTCGATCCAACCATTCCGGAATCCTTAAAGTCACACGATCAAAATTCGGATGCTTGGCACCGGGCTCATATTTATCAAAAATTAGTTACTAATTTTGACAACTGCTGCGATTCACCTAAGAACACAAAACGGGGCAAAACTCACTTAACAACGGTCTTCGGTTAGCAATGGGAAGGTTGGGCTCCATTGCGATTGTAGGTAGCTCTAATTCTGGATCTTAGGAAAGCAGATTTGGTTTTTTTTTTTAAAAAAAAGATAGCAGTCCTCATGAGAAGCAAGGCTTACCCTATCAAATCCCATAGCACAAAGATTTTCTATCTTCTTGGTATATTCCGGACTAGAAACTGGTGCTCCAGCATAAACGTGCGCCCAAAGTCGAGCTGTCTGTTTAAACATTTCTGAATTCTGTTTGTACTGTGTCAAAAGATGGGGGGGGAAAAAAAGACAAATTTAAATCTTGTGGCAAGGACAAATCTGTAGCTAATGTGTAATATTCCGATAATACTCTCTTTCCTCAGGAGAGGATGCAAACCCAGCATCTTTTTCACTAGCTTGTTTCCAGATTTTTAAAAGTCCCTCTTCCTTGGAAACTCAACGTGGATTTTCTAAAAAAAAAAAAAAAAAAAAGGAATAACGGTTGTACCTGATTTGCCACAACTGCATCTTGTGGGTCATCGGGTTCAGCAGCTGCCAAGAGGGCTTGTAAGGATAACAACACTGTTCTTAAAGTCATCGCTGCGGCCCTGAAAAGACAAGGCTGGAATGAGTTACCGACATAGGTAACATCAAGGTTTAACAGACTTGTTTAGTACAGGAGTCAGCAACCTGCGGCTCTGGAGCTGCATGTGGCTCTTTCACCCCTCTGCTGCGGCTCCGTGACTTCAAATATGCGTCACAACCGCCCATGTGCGACACCCGCCGGCACACCATTTATTGCGCTTTTCAACCTCCAGTAGGCCAACCATGGATAAATCCAAGAAAAGAAAAGTTTCAGAAGAAAACAGAACGTTTCATTCAACAACATATGCTAGTTTTGTGGCCGCTCAAGAAATAGTCAAGGTTTTGTGGCTCCCGGTGTTTTCTTTTCCGTGGGAAACGGGTCCAAATGGCTCTTTGAGTGTTTAAGGTTGCAGACCCCTGGATTAGTACAAGACAAGACCACTGTAATATCCCTTAGGCATAAAATCACCACCTATCTAACAGTAGTGGGCAAAATTGGGAAAGTGTATTTTCTAAAACTAGCTAATAACACCACTCTTTTCGGAGTAGTACCATAAAACTATATATCAATGGAAAGATCATTTAATCAAGAATGTAATGCAATAAACTTTTATGAAGGATTTGCTATTAGAAAAGCAGTTACAGTATAAAGAAGAAAAGTGAAACACGTAGAAAAAACGAGAGCTACAAAAAATGATCCCCATGTCAGTTAATCCTTAGTTGGGTAACCTTTAGCATGAATGACGGTCTTACAATGTCTTCCCATGGAGGGAACCAAGTCTTTGAGTTCTGCAGCTTTTATAATGTGAAACCAAGATGGAATGATGGCTTCTATTAACTGGGTTTTTATTGCTGGGTCGCTTCTGACTAACCAGTTTCTTTAGTTGGCTCCATAGATTTTCAATTGGGTTAAGAAGGTCTGGGCTATTCCCAGGCCATTCCAGCAGTGGAATAGGATTATCTTGAAACTCCAAAAAAAAAAGTGGTGCTATTAGCCGTCAAACCTCAAAAATACACTTTTCCCAAAAGATTTCCACAATTTTGGCCACTACTGTAGGTCAAAAATAATCAACGGGACGTTTTGCTTGATATTCCCTTGGCTAAATTTCTATGCTTCAACTGTTTGCTTGATCCCATCTTTCCTGGATGTTAACCCTGCTTATTCCTACATTTTCTCTTCTTTTTCTGTTCAAAATGAAGCCTGCAATTATATTTTAGCGTCTAGTAACTGGCTTACTAGAGAAGGTTACTAGAGGAGGGCGATATCAATGGTAAAAATATATATATACACATTCAGTGTGTGTGTGTGTGTGATATATATATATATATTGAATATGAATATACTGAATATTCTGGGCAGCTATAAACATCCAATCAAAAAGATTATAGCAGGCGATACAGAGCAGTGTTTCTTTACGTTCACTTTCTATAGTTCAGAAATGAAATTACTAAATTTCTCAACTGTCTCAGTAGTTCCGGTATACAGCCAAATTTAGTTGCATGAATGAAAATACTCCCACCTATTTTTTTTCCCCTGCCTCTCAATGCTTCATCATTTTTGCTTAGAGTATATTTTGCCATCAAACTCAGGAAACTTATGATCGAAGCTGTTCAAAACTCACAATTTAAGCACTTTGGTAAATCGTTTGGAGACCAGCAATAGCCAGTTTGAGACTTCAAATGTTAAAAACGGTAAAAACTGTGGTTAACAGTCGCTCATCCTCTCTTTTAAGAAAGGATCGCTATTTCCTCCCATATCCACAAGTATAATCCAATTATTTTCAGGATTTCCCCCAAACTTCGTACGGAACCTTACCACTGATCTTTTAGGATATCCAAACAGATAGCTCCGGTGACTGAGCTAATATTAGGATGCCAAATTTTGGTGATAAACCGCACCTAAAATACAAGAGAAGCTGTTATCAAAATAGCAGCTACACAATGGATAATAAGCAACACATTGGAGTGATCTCCAACTTTTCCGGCTCTGGACCGTAGGCGGAAGGGGTGGTTGGTTGGTTGTGGAAGGGATGGTTTCGTGTGTGTGCACACGCGCCATTTACACAAATGAGGCTTTTTGTGCCTGCCCGCCACATATGTGGTTTGGTTCCCAATGGGCCCCAGCATGCAGATTGAAGGGGGGGGGTGTTGGGGACCCCTGCCGTACAGGACAATTTTACAGTGTTTTTATGGACAATGTTGGCTGGTCCTCAAAACAGTGATAATCTTAACATCTGGGTTCTTCAGATTCGGACTCAGCATCGTATTAATTTGGAACACGTGTTCATGTTATGTGCTCCTACGGTGCCCGAAACCTTCATCTAGATTTCTGAGAAAAAACTGCCCTGGGATATTGATTCAATACTGTCAAAGAGTTGTATTTTGCCCTCGTGACAAAAGAGAGCCTACAGCTAGCTACTACAACTATGTCTGTACTCCTCTCATTCAGACCTTCTCACAAGTAACACAACACCAGACTTAAAGTCTGTAGAGATTCTCAGTCATCCAGATCCTGGTTGTCCCAAAAGTGCTTTTTTCAGGAGGCAACTGAACTTTCTTGTTTCTTCTTTTGAAGACGTTTCGCTTCTCATCCAAGAAGCTTCTTCAGCTCTGACAGGATGGTGGGGAATGGAAGGATTTATATTCCTTGCAGACAGCTGGTCATTTGCATTCTTTTGGAGAGCCACTGAGGCCACTTGGAGGTTTGTCTGTGTCCTCAGGGTCACCTGAGTAGTGCAAATGGCTCCTGTAGTCTGCAATTTTTCTCTGGAAAAAGTAGTAGGAGCATCACTCAGGTGACCCTGAGGACACAGACAAACCTCCAAGCTGCCTCAACGACCTTCTAAAAAGGATGCAAATGACCAGCTGTCTGCAAGGAGTATCAATCCTTCCATTCCCCACCATCCTGTCAGAGGTGAAGAAGCTTCTGGGATGGGAAGTGAAATGTCTTCAAAAGAAAAGAGAAGAAAGTCCAGTGGCCTCCTGAAAAAACACTTTTGGGACACCACCAGACTAACCTCCCTTCCAACAACTTGGGAGAAAGAGAGCAATATTAACTTAAATTTTGGTGCGGAGATGTCCAAGTTCAAATCTGGTTGTGTGTTTTGTTTTTTTAAAAATCTTTCAAAATAAAGATTGCTGGGAGAAACTGAGAACAAAAGCATTCTTTTTCTGCCCCTCTAACTTAACCGCATTTCGTTCCTCGGTTATGAACATTGTCCTTGAGAAGAAAAGTGTTATATCGAGCTTCAGAAACTTTTCGTTTGATTGTCAGCTTTTGTGAACGGATCAGATGGGCGAAGCGCGGTGGGACTTGGGACAGCTAGGAAATGTTTGGGACAAGCTTTTCAAGGTCAAAGGGAGTGGGAGGGGCAGGGGTGGTCTTTTCACTAAAAGACCTTCCTGAGTTTAAGCCGTCTGCATTTGGGAGAGCCAAGGACCGGATTTTGGTGGATGTGCATAACATTGTGTGCTGAACCATGATACAGGGTGTTCATCCTTAAATACTCCTTTTTAAAATGTGTTGCTATTTGTAAGAATTGAGTGGAAAAAAAATACAGATTCACTGGCTCATTTGGAGATGCCCATGTTAAATTAAAGCTCTTATGTTGTATTAGGTTTCACCAATTCTCATACCGCCCACAGATGAGAACATAGGAATTCTGTACGATGGTGCTTTTATTTTCTAACTGATATTATCGTTACAGGGGGGGAAACTTTACTTTGATTATTGCTATAGTTTTATCATTAATCTATTTGCCTTTTTTTTTTAAATAGCCAAGAAAATAAACATTTCCACCTATCGGTTCCACTGAAAACCATAAGCATGTATACAATTTTCTTACTATTGCACTTGAACACTGTAAGAAGCACTCGCATTAAAAAAATTCTTATTTAATTGAAATGACATTAGTACATGTTATCACACTTAAAACTAAGAGACAATGGATTATTTTTACACAATTTGAAGTTTTGTTGTACAGTAAAGCATTTCATAAGCAGGGAGTTTCACAAAGCATCATAAAAGATAATTTTTGGGGGGGGGGGTCTGTATTCAATTAGAAAGACCTTGGAGGGGGCAGCCAAGACAAATAAAGAGCACTGCACAAAAAAAGGATTCATAAAGGAAGAATCCGAAGAATTATTCACAATAATTATATTCACCATACCTTGGGGGGATTAAAAGGATACGTTTCTGGAATTTTTATTTCTAATTGATATCTTCCTCCTATAAAAACCAGAACATATAACCACTAAATACTTATCAGACATGAATTTATCACAGCAATGAACTTTCCTTTAAGTTAAATAAACAATAAGATTTTAAAAGTTTGCTTGGGTTCTAAGGCAGGATGGACTCCTTTTATAATGTAGCTGGAAATTGTTCCGGTAGCCTTCCAGCATGTTTACCTCTACCATTGGAAGTATTACACAGAGATTACTCAGTTTGCAAACCCCTTGAGGTGAAAATCCTTTAGTGCATCATCTGTAATACCACAGTAATTGTTCTTATTTCTTCCTGTTGTCTTTTTCCCCCCGAGAAAAGCTCTTGGCACATGGGCACAATTTACTAAAAGCTGTAATAAAACCCTCCATTTGATTAAATGAAGGTGAGACTATTCCAATATTCCAGCGACAATTTAACAAGGAGCAAACACAAATTTAGATGTAAACTGATGGTGCCAAAACATTGAAGCGACAAGGACAATCATTAGGAGTAGCAAATCTCCCAAGGATCCCCCCCGCCCCAGACCATGAACGCAAGAATTATCAGAATTTGTCTGGAAAAGATTGAAGAACTGGAAAAGATCTAGAGAACAGGAATGTCCAACCTTGATAACTTGGTAAGATCTGTGGATTTCCACTCCCAGAATTCTCCAACCAACCATGCTTAAAATGGCCAAGGTCAGTGAAGAAGACGACAACCTGAAGGATCTCTTCTGAAGAACCTTCTTTCCCAACCAAAACAAAGTGTTTAATTTGACGTTGTCTTCCCAAGACAAAGCCATGCTTACACGTTTTTAGTCGATAACTGCCTACTTAAAAACGTGATTAATTTTGCTTCAGCAAAAATAGTACTTCTGAGAAGAAGGCCGTTTCTGAGTCATCGTTCCTGAGGCTCTCCATAAAAGAAACTAAAAGCTATGCGGACTGACAGTCTGACAAAGGCCAAGAGAGAAAGAACGCAGAAGGGAAAGAAATAACGGCTCACGAGTGACTTCTCTGAAAGCAAAACTCTACCAGTCAAAGGAACCCAATGGGAACGTTTTTTCTTGAATAGTTGAATGTCTACTTTCTCGCCATCTAGCCTAAGTACAGAGATTTTCCAGCTGGAGCCATGATCAAGCACACAGCCTATATGCGAGGGCCCTCTACAGAAACCATAAAAAAGATGAAAAAAAGAATCTGAATGGGGATTTCATTATTTTTAAAGAAAGAGGGAAAAAAATCTACTTTAGGATCCATGAAACAACTTACATTAAAAGGAGCTACACTAAAGAAAGCAGGTCTCCGCTAACAATTTTAAATGAACATCCAACTCCCTAAGTCAGGAGTGGGGAACAATGACCCCCCCCCTTTATGACTTGTGGGACTTCAACTCCCAGAATTCCTGAGCCAGCCATGCTGGGAGTTGAAGTCCATAAGTGATAACGGGGCCGTTGTTCCCCACCTCTGCCTTAAACGAAGGAAGAAGCATTGTTATGTTTGTGTTTTCATTTCAAAAAAGTGTGGGTTTTTCCCCCCCCTCTAGGTACATTCTGCATCGACTCCGGTTCCAAGCATTTGTCTTTTATATTTTTTTTTTAGGACAAGCTTTTCACTAAGGAAACTACTTGCTTTATACGAGCGGAAAGAGACAGATCTGAATGCACTTAAACTTTCTAAGTATTCACACAACAGAATACCCACCAGCTGCTTGGAATTGTGTTGCTGAGTCAAGGAAGAGAAGGTGAGAAGAGGAAAAAAAAATGAATTGAAGAACCTGTCCAACAGTTACATTTCCAGTCCAAAACCTCAACCTCTAGACAGTGGTTCCCCCCCAAATGGCAGCTCCTAGTGCAAACCATTGTGGGTGCTACCTGGCATGGAAATTTGGGGTACTTTTTACAAGTTGGGAGTTCTCTAGAAGCAGGGACTAATATTCAGAATTCTATCCGTATTCTGAGAATTGCTAAGAATTCTCAGAGGATTGAAATACACGGATCACGAGGAAGCCCAGATAACTGGTTTAAGGAAACCGAATACCATATATTTTTTTGCCTGCTGTCGCTGTTTTATTAATGTAAAACTTAGTCTTTCAGCAATTGTTTCATTGTGCAACTATTGGCAAGGAATAACGACTGAATGCCGTTTTAAACATTTAAGATGTTCTGACTGGTAAATTAAGCCAAACTTACACACACAGAGAAATCAGCGTGAGTTACTGAAGAGCTTGAGTACTATAAACCAGAATGCAACTAAGTTATCCTGCACGAAAGATTAACTTCCAAGGGTAAATTACAATATTTATATTTGCAACGTATTTGCGGTGTTTTGCAAAGGACTTCCAAAATGAGACATATTGCATTTACGAGCTTGAAGAATTAACAAGATTAGAAAATCTTAGATTAGCAGAAAAAAAAATACTTACCTTCATATGGTGTGTCTGGAGGCCCTGCTATTTCTCCTCTTAGTTCTGTAAAATTTTCATCTACAAGGTCTACTTTAATTTGATTTTTGTTCGTCTTAAAAATAAAACAGAAAAAAAAAAAAAACCCCAGTTAGAGGTTTACTACTCATTAGATTTTTTTCCCCCACTTAAATTTAGAGAGATGAATTTGCCATATACATTTGTTTTCAAAATTGCCTTTTAATTTCAAATTTCAGCCAATCCTTTCAGTTCTCTTTACATTGATCAAATACTCAATGTCAACTCGCAAAGCATCCCTGGCCTGCTCTCGAGTTGCCATAGGCCAGGGGGGATGGGAAACCGGCAAAATGGCACAGCACCCAAAGACAGATGCACATTCCATGCTTCTCTCTCTCAAGGCTGTACCCCAGAGTTACCTCCAGCAGCAGGTGGAGAGTGACCTCTACAACCCACGAAATTGCTCTGTTGCGAATGTGATTGATGACACACCCTGGGGGAGGGGGGAATAATTGGAGTGTAGGTTACACAGGGTCAGAGCTGGGTGCCCTGGATTTCTTTTGAAGCTTGGCTCGAGACTCATGATTTAATTAAGGCACCCTGACACTCAATTCTAGTTGATACACTAGATCCACAGGAATCCTTCCAGGAACTGCTAGAAAACAGCACCGGAAACCCAAACCACATGGGTTGCTACTGCTAGCAATTTCTAGCCTAAGCTTTTGATACGAGGAGCATCAAACCTGCCTCCCATCTTCACAGTAGTCAGGCAATGATTCCTTCAACCTCTGATCAATCAATAATAGATATCTTTAATTTCTATAATTGCATTAACAGTCTATCTACCATGACTTTGTGATTTCAGTATCAGATCAAAGCTATAATCCTACCACTGTACACAATAACCAGAATTCAATAACGATATTTTAAATAATATACAGGTAGTCCTTGACTTATGACAGGTCATTTAGAGATCAATTTATCTTGAAATTTTAACCGTGTTCATACAGGTGCTTTTTTCAAGAGGCGACTGAACTTTCTGTTTTTTCTTTGAAGACCTTTCGCTTCTCATCCAAGAAGCTTCTTCGGCTCAGTGGTGTATAGCTAAATGTCTATGGAGATTCTCTCCCAAAATCGATTTGCAGATTCAAATTAAATAGCAACCTAAGTCTAATTAGTCACTTCACTGAAAATGGAAATCCTTCTGATTATCTTCCTTGGGAATGTATGAATGCCTCCCTATTGTTTTTAAGTCATGTAACACACGCAATGGGCAGCCTACTTACGTCATGCCTAACTTCCGTGACTATCCCTAATTATATCTTGACACATTTACATGTATGATTAAGAAACTAATGACAGGTTGGGTTTCTAAATAAGACACTCTTTTTTAGATTGTGCTGCTTTTCGTAAGAAGCATAAACACATTTTGTTTGGTAGTAAAATTACACATTTACAATAAATCAACTACTGATGTATTTTCTAGTTCAGGGGTCTCCAAACTTGGCAACTTGAAGACTTGTGGACTTCAACTCCCAGAGTTCCTCAGCCAGCTTTTTTTTTTTTCTTTAAAATGCCTCTGACGATCCAATCTGAGTTGCTTGATCGTCAGAGGCATTTAAAAGAAAAAAAAGTCTCTGCCGATCAGGCAACTCAGTTGGGATCATCAGAGTCTTTTGAAAGCATTTTTTTACAACCTCTTCGCTGAAGAGGTTGTAGAAAAAATGGTTTTAAAAGTAAAAAAAAAAAAGGCCACACCCACCGAGTTACATTACCCCCACCAAGCCACGCCCACAGAACCGGTACTAACAAATTCTAGATTTCACCCCTGAAGATATGGTATAATAAATCTTTAAACTGTTGTTTTCCCTTGGATAATGAGAAACTTTCCCATTATCCTTTGATGCTTGCCAAAGCGACTTCAGTTTATATCGATTTCTTTGTTCCTACTGGTTAAAACCATCTAAACGGCGCTTCAATAACGTTACAGTCATTTAAATCAACAATTTTATTTAAAAAAAACCCTAAATTACTCATTTCATTTCAAGTATTTCCAGCAAGTTTTTATATAGCCAGCCTATACTCTCCACATTTTTTCCACCTGAGCCACACAAGGTCCATATTACTGCAAATGTTATTGTGTAAAATAATGTTGTTAAACAAGTCGCTCTGGTTGACTACAACTAATTTGCCGCTCAGTAGTCTTATGGCCTTTAACAGATGCAGCCGTCTAACCTTTATAAATACATATTTGGTGCTAGGAAGAACTAGAGTAGAATGAATGCTTCAAGCACCTAGAAGCAATATAGTGTACTCATTTTTTCATTATTTTTTTTTAATGGAGATTCCTCCCCTCCAAAGATCAACTAACACCCAATAGTATCCCACACGTTGTAGCTGCAAAGGAGGTAACCAAACTCCTTTCAAGATTACAGATTGTGAAAAATAAAAAAGGAAACATTACTCTTTGCAGTTGTTATTTATAGCATCCATTAAAATACACCTCAGAGTCCACATTCAACAATTTTTTGTCTTCCGCAGCTCCAAGTCAGCTTGCCTTAAGAAATTCTCCATCTATTGTTATTTTACATTATCTTATCTATTGTGGTGCCTTTGGTTGAGATGGGCAGCTGTAGAAGTGTGACTGACTGCAATAAATTTCATCCAACAGCTACAACAAACAGCCTGTGCACTAATTTAGTGTTTTAGCTTCTTATCTCGGGGCAAACCCTCAAAACTTTCTGCTTTTCAACTGTCAAAAGAATGTCTGTGGATTTATTTAAAAATGTCTTTGTTGAAATTTCCAAGCCTTGGCCGAGCAGAAAAAAAAAAAATATTGCCATCGGCATCATTTGTATAATTGTATAATTCAGCAAAGTTTGTCGTTTGCGCTCATTTACATGATGCATATTACGTGATGAGGTACTTACACCGTGATGAGGTACCGGTACTTACACCAACACGTAATTTGCAACATTTAGACAAAATCAATCTTTTATATTTGAAAAATATGCAAATATAGGAACGACACGACCCCATGATTCTGGCCTTCTCTATTTCTTGAGACCTTCCTTCTAGTATTGTTTACACTAGCAAACATAGTGGACATTGTTTTTTTCCACATTTATTCTAATTTACAGTTTATTGGATTGTTTTAACTCTACAATTGTGGGAATTATTGTCTGCTGCTTTAAAACAAAACAGCAAATGGGTAAAAATGCTTACGGCTCACTTACAAATCCCATCAACATGAATCCCCTCAACGTTACCAATCTGGAGGCTGCAAAAAAGCTGCCCAACAGTCAGTCAAAATTTCTACCTCTTAAATTTAATTATTTTGACACTGCTGTAAGCCTGCCTTGAGAACACATGCTTCTCGTGGATCTACCTTCTTTGGCGGTATACAACAAAAACATCGTCATATTTGCATTTAGTTTACAAAATATAGCTTTCCCAATCACCCCCAGTATACTGTTTCTTTATGCACCTTGAAGCACAGAGTCAAGGAAGATTCTGCAAACTTTCTTTGAACAAGGCAAGTTAATCGTACATCATTTTGCAGTAGAGTTCTGAGAACACATACAGGTCAATTCCAAAATAGCTGCCTGGGAATAGAGAGACGCTTATTCTTAGGACAAGTGGTATGGGACAACAGCCAAAAATATAATCCAAAGAAGGGTAAAAGGTCTCATTTCTATTGATTTTTCATGCTCGCAGTGAGAAATTTTAAACCAGTTTATTTATTGCAAGGATTTTTGTCATTTTCTTCTTCCAAAGTAGGAAACTTGCTTTTCCAAAATTTTGCATTTGATATCGGCGAGATGAAGAATGCAATTTTATATTAGCATTCTGCTAACAACAATACTAGGAAAAATAACTCTGATAGCATTTTAAGAGTAATGCTCACTTTCTCAAAAATAACCAACAAGTGCCTTCCTCTTTGACCGTTTTCTCTACGTTTTAAGATGAGTTTGCAGATTGCCTGTTTGAATTTTAATATAATTGTTCACGGAAAGTAGCCTTCAAATGACTGGATATTTTGCAAACGCAAGATTTGCTACGATTAATCCATTCTGTGGTAGAGTTTATCGCATTTTGCATAAATGTCTAATTGCCTTGAACTTGAATCTTTAATGTTTCTGAAAAGTTGTATATTATATAGCTGTCGACATAGGCCGCAGAACATACTTCTGCCTCCCTTTAGTCTACTATGCTGCCCACATTTTTTATTCTTCAGTTGTGTTTGTGATACCGTACACCGCTACTTTAAAATTACATGTTTTTGCTTTCCTTCAATTTTTTTTTTCATCAAAAGGCACGTTACCATTAAAATACATAAACGAGGCATATTGTCATGTCAGTCGTGTAACCATCTGAATATGTCAAGCTGTTCACAAAATGGTAACAGCAAAGTGCAATTATTCATTAATTTTTTAAAATGCTAAATTACTGAAGCTTCCGTGTAGTTATTGTATTTAGTAAATGCAGAAGGAGGGCAGTAATGGTATATTCCCCTTGTGCACAGATGTTGCAAATTAGTTCGATAACAGCTAAGTACGGTTTGAAATGTATGAAATGAATAAAAAAGATGGAAATTTCTTGCAGAAAAATTGTCATGTTGTATTTTTTTTCACCGAAACCCTAACATTTTTAGAAATAGATACAAGCAAATTTAAAGCTGTAATTATCCTCTCTCAGATAATCATTCTTAGGAAGCACCTTTGTAAATTAGGTTAGATGCGCTGAGCTCAATATATTAATCATGTTCACTATCTTCTCTTTACTTCTAAACACTTTAGGAAGCCTCAATGATTGAAAATGGTAATCGTCCAATTCAATTTTGGGGGGGAAAACCCACACTGCAGAATTTTTTTTAAAAAAAAATGGATTAAAAATTAATTCAGCTTTAGGACATTACATATACATAATAATAATAACTTTTATTTGCGGTCACAGACCAAAATACAAATATAATTGCAGAAGAACATGGGGTTTAGGACATTAAATTTTCTAGGAAATCTTTCAATTTACATTGTGTGTTTAAAAGACTGCACAAAATAGGGTTTTTTTTTAGTGAAACTTATTCCAGGTAAATGG